TGGGGACCTAGTCTTGTATTAGGAGAGGAGGGTGGTCAGAGAAGCTCCTTGAGGAAATGCGTTTAATCTGATACTTGATAAAAGAGTAGAAGTCATTAAATTAAAAGCCAAATAAAGAACTCTACATACCCCCAAGAGAAATATTTTAGAGTTTCACATGGCTCAAAATCAACTAATTTACCCCCATCTTTAGGTGGTACTGGACAGTCTACTTTGCCGTATATGGAAGGACGCTTTGAAAGCCAAAAACTGAGCAATGACTTCCAGTGCCCACTTTTCACCTTTCCTGTGATAGTCTGAAGTGAAAGTTGAGAGCTCTGGATAAACAACCTAACAGCCATTCTTTACATGCCAAAATACAGTCAAGGTCAAGGTAAAATGACTAACGTTTGGAGACCAAGGATTTGGGGACATTCATATTTGAAAACCCTCCACAAATGCCTGGAGAATCCGGAACACCGCTTTAAAGGGCATTTACTCAGGAGAAGCAATCTGATGGTCTCTTTAGATTTTCAAGGATCAGAAGTAGAAGCACTAAAAGAAAAACTGCATCCCCATCCACCCAGAGGGTGTACCAGTGGCAGTATTCCTGGAGAGCCGGCTGGCACAACCAATCAAAAGTCTTAAGAGGTTTACAGGTGACCTCTCCACGTCCTGGAATTGTGCTGAAGGAGAGAAGCAGGCAAGTGAACAGGAAGGTTGGCTGCTGCCACTTCCTCTAATAACAGAGAAAAGCCACCAAGGATGCACACATTCCAAAATAAATTTTCAACTCCGGGTTCGATGGTTGTACTCTTGGCCCCTCCTGGGAGGGGTCAATTCTCCTTTGAGCAGGATCATCTGGTACTTTTCAGGATGTTTAGTGTCCCAAGCCCCTACCCGTTAAAATGCAAGGGGAGTCCCCTAGTCATTTTGACAACAATGACCCCCTTCTTTTTTCTTTTAATTTTTACTTTGGGGGTGGTAATTAGGTTTATTTGTTTATTTTAATTATTATTTTTTTTAAAGTGGAGGTACTGGGGATTGAACTCAGGACCTCATGCATGTTAAGCATGCGCTCTACCACTGAGCTATACCCTCCCCCCATGACCCCCTTCTGAACATCCATTTCCAAAGCTCCCTAGTGGTGGGTGGTACCACTGCAGGTTAAAAGCTAGCAATGGAGAACTACATACCCACTCCAAAATATGATCTGGATCTAAATATAGAAAAAAATACAGAGAAAATGTCCACAATACATGAAATGAAAGAAGCGGCAGGATAAATGGATGCTATCATTGCATTTTTGTCCAAAACAAAACAGAAATGTCCCTACATACATAGATCCTTGTCACATGCACGTGAAAACGGTTGGAAAACAATTTTCCTTGGCTGGTGGAATTATGAGAGATTTTTATAGGCTTGCTTTCTTCTTTTATTTTTTTTCAATGAGTAAGTCTTTCCTTAATAAAGGGAAAAAGCTACTTCTGTTTTGGAGAACAAACGGTGACCCACCCACTGCCCGCCCCTCGCACCACAATTCTTGTCGAACTTAGCGGGAGGATCGCCAGGCTCCGCCTCGGAGAGCACGGGCCTCTGCTCAAGCGGCGTGGGGTCACCTTCTTCACTCTGCCAAACACGCAGCCTCGTTTCAAGGCAGCAGCTCTAACACCAGGACTAGGATCTGGTAGTGCTCAAATAAATATTTGCTGAATTGAGTCATCCTTTTTGGTCTTGACTGGGCCAGACTTGTGCTGACAGGAACTTCGGGTTTTAATATTATTTTTACCCAGTGGTTCTCAACTGGGGTGCCCAACCTACCCCCAGGGGCACTGGCAATCGGGGTTTGGTCCTCCCGATGTTGGGGGAAGGGGGTGGGAGCGTTACTGGCATCTAGTGAGTAGGGGAGTGGAGGGTGCAGTGCAGAGGACAGCCTTGGCAGCAAGAGTTATTCAGCCCCAAATGTCAATAGCGCTGCGGCTGAGAAACCCTGCATGCCGTTTTCCTTTCTTAGAGCTTGTTAAATAATTCCCAAATTCTTCCTCAAGTATTATCCACTGAAAATGTATCGCCATAGCATCTCCAGGAAACAGGGCACGTACTATGAACTGCTCGAGTCTGAAGAGAAAGATGGAGCCATCTACATGACCTCAGGCGGTCAACCAGGGAGGATTCCAGCTCTCTGCTCCGACTCCGCGGGGCTCTCTGGATAGTATTAAACACTTCATGTGGAGCGAGCAGAGGTTAAGGATCTGAGCAACCTCTCTGATTAGTTTTCGGTCCAATCGTTAAAACACAAGCTAGAAGCCTTTCTTTTCCAGCATCAACTGTTACATTGATCACTTTTCACACGATTTTAAGAAGGCTGGGTTTTGCAGCTAGTAGATTTTTATAAAATTAAATGGCCATAGTCAAGAACAGCTCCCTAAAAGGGAGGCCACTTTCTTTCACATTACATTCAACTGAATGCATTTCTCAGTAGAAATAAAATAATAAAGAGTGTCGCCTGAAGGTATATTACCAACCCCACGTTCAGAGAGTAAAATGAAAGGTTTCTAATGAAAATGAAAGCAGATTACTTGGAACCCTAACTAGCCTTACCTATTTTGCCTCCAGTACAAAAAGCATTTTTATATTCACTGTAATTTCGTTCGATAGAAAAATGGCTTTTCTCAAATCAGAGACAACTAACATGATATTAAACATCAGAATTTTCATTAATATAAGGCACTTAGAGTCTCAAATTTTTCTAGAATCTACTAGGCAGCTTTTTTAAAAAAAATCTTTAAATCTATAAACAGTTCTGTGAGTAACAGACCTTAAAAGATCTCATAATTCAAAAATTTGAAGACCATTTCTTTCATGCAACACAATTCCTTCGAACACCTTTCACACAGACTCCTATTTTATTAGGTAAATAGAGAGCCCTTCAAATAGCTTACAGAGACAGTTTCTCTCTGGAGAACAATTTTCCCTTCTAATCATCTCTGTCATATAGGTCTGAGCAAGTGCAGAGAATACAGAACACCATTTAAAGAAAAATACAATTATAAGAGATGGGAATATCCTTTCATCTGACATAATGCAAAGCACGCGTTTAATAGCATGAATCAATTTCTTTCAAAACAAATCAAAGAAAGTCATTTTATGTTTCCCAAAGACATTCACTTGGGATGAGGCTAGGCGGACTTTAATAATACCATAAGCACTCAACTTTTGGAACTGGTGAATATGACCATGACCTTAGCTTCTGTTCTCTTGGGCCAACAGAAAATGTTCCCTGAATATGAGCATCAGAGAATGATATCTAACGGGCTTGGAAAAGAATCTGCCTAAGCAGGGAGCTGAAAATAGCTTAACTTTGGAATTTCAGGGCCCAATTCAGCAGGAAGCAATGTGAACAAAAGAAAGATGGGTCCCTTAGAAGCTGCTGGAAATGAGGTTAGCAAGAAAACGCAATGAGCTCACAGATGTATCGAGGTGTGAAAACTCACTGCTCAAGAACTGGCAGGAGAACGATGATGTCAAACACAGATATTCAGTCACCCGCCACCTCATTTGAGTTTCCAGACAAACTCAATCAAATACTCTCATTCTTCTTCGACTTATTCTTTAGTAATACAGTCTTTACTGAAACAGAAGAAAAGAAAGACCTGCCAATGAGAGAAAACACTCAGTTCCTTCTGCGAATACCAATAACCCAACACAGAACTCCCTTCAACTCTTGCCGAAATAATTTTCTGTGACTGTTTTTATTCTAAGACATTTTCTCCCTAGTAAGAATTAGAAGAGACATCACCAAACTGAAGCGTCTGTAGGGCTTCGGAAGATTAACACAAAAGGATGAAATGGCCTTAGCAGGGACCAGGGGGACCTGGAGAGTCATTCCTCCTAAACTCTGTCTGCAGCGAATGTCTAGTGCTGAGTTCAGCAGCTGACACCCCAATCCTTGCAGAAGTCAGATTCCAGATTCTCGAAATTTCCAGATGTCAATATGAACTTTAAAATTTCTGAATTTTTAAGCATGAGTAACTAATTCAAGATTTTAAGCAATACTTTGCTGGCTAAACAAATCTTGCCTGTGTTTTTGATTTCATCCACCAATTTACAACCTCAGTATTGGAAGAAGAAAAATGAGAAATGGCTAACCAAAAAGTGTTACCAGGGTCCCATCCTGAAGTTCGTGGTGCATTTTTGAGTCTTTTCTAATCAGAAAGAACTTTTTTTTTCCTAAAAGCATGATCACATCTAAACTTTCTGACTTAAAATTTCAGGGCTTTTTAAGCTTCAAAACATTCTGTCAGACATAGAGAAGATAGCCAGAGAAAGGAATTTTTTGTGTGAGAGGAAAAGTCTGGTGGGCGAACACTGAGGATTCTGGTAAACCTGTTTCTCAAAGATGCACGGGGAAGCTCAGGAGAATGTCCAGCTTACAGGAGGGGCTTCTAAACGAACATGAGGCTGGTGGAAGAGAAGATTTCAAGTATCGAGAAATGCAAAGCTTTGAGACAAATGCAATGAAACAGAAAGAAACCAAGTTCATCTAACCAAGCCAATGATATTTACCGCCCGTGGGTAGTGCCAAAGCATTTCAGGAAATGCCAACATCTTTCTTTGTAAAGCCAGGCCAAACTTTCAAACACAGCACAGATTACTGGGGAAGAATAAGGCAAATCCTTATTTGCTGATTCTCCTTCACGAAGAATCTTGACATTAAGATTGATGGCTAAGGCAGAACACCCCCTTCCCTCTCCAACAATGAAGTTTCACTATCCAATGTTCTAGAAGTTTCTCGGCAATCTTTTGTGAACAGTTAAAGATGGCCCGACAGGATGAAACAGAGCCAAGGCCCACCCAAGGCTCGGTTTCATGTCTCTTGCCCGTTTCCCACCTTCACCCCATGGAGCCCCCACTTCTCCGAATCAGCAAAGTCAGCTCTGCCTTCCGAGCTGGAATGAGGAAGGACGGAGAGACAGAGGGCCAAGCGAAGGCCACGGCAGCCCCCCGATCAGGAACGGTACCTGTTCGGGCTTCAGCCCCGGCGGGACCCAGGCGTACTCCTCCAAGGCGCAGCCCGAGTCGTCGTCGGAGGTCGAGTTCCTCTGGAAGTCAAACATGAGTTTACTGACGGTCTTCTCCATCGCCAGGGGCATCACCGTCACCATGTGCTCCTCCTGAGGGCACTTGCAGTGCAGGCAGATCTTCCTGTGAGCAGCAAAGGCGGGAGGTGAGAAGGCAGGCAGAAGAAACCATTTATTCACTTGGCCCGCCGCTCACCAGCCCTTGGATCCCAAACCAGAGACAGATTCCTTGGCGACCGGCTTTTGGCAAAAACATCTCAAGCAGGTTCCACAGAGCACCTGCCTTTGTAGAAGGCATGGCCCCGTGTACATGGGATCATCCTGAACCATCAGGGGTCACCAGACCAGCATGCTAAGGAAATTTAAACATGGACCCCAGTCTTTCCTTGTAAATCAGTATCCCAAGAGGAATGTCAAAATACCTTTAATTTCTCTAGGTAGAACCCTGGATATGGACATGACCACAATTTCCTTGACTGGAATAGTACTTAAACACACCCAACACATATGTGGACCAGAAATACTGCCAGTAGATTTAACAAATACTGACAAGATACCATTTTTATAAACGGTTCCTAGACCTTAAGAAAAGGAAGTGGTTTTAAAAATAACTGCAGGTGAGACTCTATTTAACAAACAGTACAAAAATATATTTATTTTTTCCCCCACTAAACAAACCTGACCCTAAGAGCTCCTGAGAAAGATTTTCACCTCCACTAAAGATCCTTGGAGGTTTGAAACTCTAATTAGAAACCCCAAATTTCCCCACGGTGGTAGTTTTTTTTTCCCCCATAGATAAGAGGATTGTGCATGTGAATTATTTCAAAAGATAGCAGCCAAAAATAAAATTCCTTCCCTCTAAATTGAACATTTCTCTTTTAAGGTTACCATCTGTTCCCTTTTCCATGGCTACACAAAAATGATGAAGCAATAAAAACGTTGATGTCAGCAACACAAAAGCATTTCCAGCTTCTACTAATAAGATAAAAAGAGAGGGGGAAAAAATGAAGGAGGGGAAAATTTTAAGAAAATAAGCTGTTCTACTTGGACTCTGAGCTTTAGAATTAATTTCAGCAGCATTTTTAAAGATGATTAAAAGGCCCAGCATCCTAATCCCCACGTGTCTGAATTTTTTTGACAACAGCTTTGTGAACATACCATTCACATGCCATAAAATGCACCATTTTAAATGTACAATTCACTGGTTTTTAGTATATTCAGAGAGCTGTGAAAGCATCACCACTGTTTAATTTTAGAACATTTCTTCACCCTCCCAAAAGCAGCTCCGTGTGCATCAACAGTAACTTCCCACATTCCCCTTCCCCTGGGCCCTGACAACCAGCAATCTACTTCCTGTCTCTAAGGTTTTACCTATTCTGGAAATTTCATATAAATGGAATCACAGTAGATGCAGTCTTTCGAAACTGGCTTCTTTCCCATAGCATGGTGTTTTCAAGATAAATCCATGTTGACTCATGTGTCAAGTCTTCATTTTTTATTACATTATAATATTCCATTGTATGAATACACTACCTTTTGTTGATCCATTCATCAGTTGGTAGACATTCGGTAGACATTAGCTTTTGTGAATAATGCTACTTCACATATGTTCAAGTTTTTTGTATGGATATATGTTCCCCATTCTCTTGGGTATTGACCTGGGAATGGAATCGCTAGGTCACATAGTAACTGTATGTTTAATATTTTGAGGAACTGTCAAACTATTTTCCCAAATAGCTGCACCTTTTTATATTCCCACCATGAGTGATCGAATGTTCCATTTTTTCCACATCCCTGTCACATTTGTTATCATCTTTTTTTTTTTTGATTGTTGCCTAGTAGGGTGTGAAGCGGTATCTTACTATGGTTTTGATTTGTACTTTCTTGTTTACAACGTTGAGCATCTTTTTTTATATGCTTATTATATATGTTCTTTGGGGAAATGTCCATTCAAAACTTTAGTCCACTGAAAACTGTTATCTGTCTTTTTATTGTTGAACTGAAAGCATTCTTTATATATTTTCTGGATAAAGATAAGTCCTTATCAGATACATGCTCTATAAAAGTTTTCTCCCATTTTGGTAGGTTGTCTTTACTCTTTTGCTGTCCTCTGAAACACAAGTTTTTGATTTTGATGAAGTCCAATTTATTTTTTCCTGTTGCTGCCTGTGCTTTTGGTATTATATCTAAGAAATCACTGCTTGACCCAAAGTCATGGAGATTTATTCTTGTATTTTTATCTAAGAGTTTCACGGCTTTAGCTCTTACATTTGGATCATGATCCATTTTGAGTTAATTTTTCTATATGGCATGAAGATGGGAGTCCAACTTCATTCTCATGTGGCTAACTGTTCCAGCATCGTTCAATTCAACTGCATCGATCCTTGTCAAAAATCAACTGATCATAAACGTAAGGCTTTATTCTGGGCATTCAATTTTATTTCACGGATCTACTACGTCTGTCCTTACGCCAATACCACACTGTCTTGATTTCTGTAGTTTTGCAGGAAGTTTTAAAATCATCAAATGTACGTCTTCCAACTATGTTCTTCCTTTAAAAAAACTACTTTCTTTCTTTTGGGCCCCTGACATCTGCATTATGAAACATAAAAGTTAGGATTAATGTGCCAATTTCTGCAAAACATCAAGCTGGTAGTTTGACAGGGACAGCACTGAATCTTCAGAGCAATTAGGAGAGTACTGTTGCCATAACAATATTAAGTCTTCCAAATCCTTGAGCAAAGGATGTCTTTTCAGTTTACTTCTTTCAACTCAGTTTCTTCCGATGATACTTCTTTTGTTAAGTTTATTCCTAAGTATTTTATTCTTTTCAACACTATTATAAATGGAACTGTTTGCATTAAAATTTCAGACCGTAGTGTATAGAAACACAAATGAATTTTGTACATTGATCCTACATCGTACAGTCTTGCTGACTTTTTATTTTCCAATTGTGTGCGTGTGTGTGTGTGTGTGTATTCCTTAGAATTTTCTATATACAAGATCACATCATCTGTGAATAGAGGTAGTTTTATTCCTTCCTTTCTGATCTGATGCCTTTTATTTCTTTGTCTTGTCTTATTGCCCTGGCTAGGTCCTCTACTCACCTATTTGTACAATGGTGAACGAAAGTGGCAAGTGTGCAGCTCCTTGTCTAATTCCTGATCTTAAGGGAAAGTATCCAATCTTCCACCATTAAGTATAATGTAACAGTGGGTTTTCTGGTAACTTCCCCTTCTGAAGTTGAAAAAGTTTTCTTGTATGCTGTTTATTGAGTGTTTTTATCACCAAATGGTGCTGGATTTTATCAAATACTTTTTTTTTACATTTATTGAGATGCACAGTCAGTTTTTATACCTATTCTATTAATGTCTTAGCCACAATTTTGACACCAAAATGTACTTGAAGAAACAAAATCAGTTTTGTCCAGCCAAGTTTGGCTTATCAGATTCTGCCACTTCCTGCTTTTCATCCGATTGACAAAAATACACGGACAGAACGTACACGTGGGTCTGCTTTGCATCTCCAAACTCAGAGAAGCTTCCTCCAAACCCTGGCTATGGGTTTTTAAAAACAATCCAAGCGCATTTTAATAGTAACTCTTTAATGAATCGGCTATTGTAAAGAATCCAGGGATCTTGGGAAGCAATCACATTTTTTTTCTTTTCCCCTTCAGAACTTTGAATGCCAGTTTACGACTTCAGGGAAAAACAGTCTCAGTGTGTTTAAGCAAGTTTAAGAAGCTCTTTGGTAACTAATGCTTTTTACTAGAAAGTCATACTTTGAGAACAAAATGTAGAGGAATTTTTTTTACCAAATTCAGTCTCCAGTATAATCATCAATAAAGCTCATGTGTTCAGCAAGGCCAGGAAGAGCACAGTTTTAATGCTGGATGGACAGAGTCTAATGAACGGAAGCTCTAGGAGAAGGAACAAAGACAGGAAGAAAGCAAAACACAGAATTAAAGAGCCAGATGTACAGTTGAGTCTCACTGAGTAGAAGCATGAACAGAAGAGGGAAAGGGGAGAGGGTGACATCATTCAGCAAATAACCATCAAGTACCTCCCATGTCCAGGCACTGTTCTAGGAACTTGGGATACCCACCCAAAACAAACAAAGATCCCTCCCCCCATGGGATCTATATTCTGAGAGGGGGAGAAACATACCACACGCAACAAATAACAAGTCATTCAATCATCTAGTATACTAAAGACGCCAAGTGCTTTGCAAAACAAGAATGGTGAAGTTGGATAAGGATGCGCAGGGCTGGGGGGTGGGGGCCCACACCAGCAGAACGCACAGCATCTCACTTGCCGACACCTGCCACGCACGAGCCCAGATTCACACACCAGTCCTCCAAGAAAGGACGTATCATCCCCACTTTGCAGAGAAGAAAACAGACGCTCAGAGAGGTTAAGCGACATGTTCAAAGTAAATCTTAAAGAGCCAGCAGAACAGAGATTCAAAGTAGGACCCATCTAATTCCCGAAACCCAAATAATAACCTACAGAAGGGATACCTGATTCCAACCAGAGAATACCTTTTTACTCCTGAACAATAAACACATTCAGAAAAATCAAGACCAAAGAGGAGGGAGGAACAAAAAAAATGTAAATCAAAACCATGAGGACCTTCTGTCTTTTCCCTGCTAGCTTCATGCCTTCCATTTCTCACTTATAATTAACAGGCACTCCTGCGGCAGGCATTTTTATTTGCAAAGAATTTTTAACCTTTGAGAGCTGCCATGACAGACTCTGGAAAGACTAATTTAATAAACTCTGTTTACAAATGAGGAACCCCAGGCCCGGATGCTGAGAAAGGAGTGGAGGGTCAGAGGTAAAGCCGAGAGGATTTCCCTTGATCCTCATGTCAAAATGCACACGACAACAACCAACAGCTCTCTCTTTCGACACGCTGATTAAGGCTTTTCAGGACTGCGTGGGGAAATATACGATTGGGCTCTTTATTAAAAAAAAAAATTGACATTTATGAAAATAGAACCTGCTAGTAAAGCAAGATTTCATTAAAAAAAAAAAACCCAATCATATAAAGCGTGCATTGGTTTCATTCTGTCAGAGTTGACATTCCACCTGTACATAATTGGGTTCGTGAATGACAGGTTTC